TACCTAATATGGTGGTATGGAAGGGGTCTAGATGTTTGAAAGTTATCTGGCGAAAGTCCTCCGTGACAGTAGTAGTGGTGAGGGGTTTATAATAGTAGCCATTACAGTATCATGCAACGGATTAAAGGACGAGTAGGGTGGTGTTCAGCAGATTCGAAGGCCTTCGGGTCCCTGGGATAAGTCCTTGCGTTCTGGTTGTGGTGTTGAATTGTCCCTGTTAAAAGGTGGCAGGGATGGTTACATCATGGCTTAGTGAGGATGATGCAATGAACGACCTACCTCCATAGCCTTCAATAGAGGGTGCGGAAAGTAGTGGCCACTAAACTTACAAAACACTTGTAAAATAATCACCAAATATGGACTGTCCCAAATGTGTGACTATAAAGAGAGTTGACTGTACTTTATTTACTACTTTATGGAAAATATGGAAGAAGAGTCTAGCGAAGACACTCAAACCTTGGAATTTACACATGGTACGTATAGCTTAGGGTTAGGGTTAGGGTTAGGGTATGTTGGATTAGGGTTTGGATTAGGGTTTGGATTAGGATTAGGGTTAGATTAGGGTTAGATTAGGATAGTGGGTTAGTGTTAGTAATGTGAACTTTATAATTTACTAATTATTTATTTATTTTTTTTTAGATGATTGCAATAATATAGGTAATGAAATGATCTTGTCTAATGAGAATCACCATACATTATTGTATTCAGGAAGGAAGTATGAATCATGGGAAGCTTGTGAAAATTTTATTATCATGTGGGCCAAGCAGCAGGGCTTTCAGATTATTAAGGATCGTGTAGTACGTTTGGAAAGTATCATTTGTCGTCGCACATATATATGTTTTCACAGACGTACCTATGAATCAAATTTTACTAAGACACTATTACAAAAAAAATTGGTTGTCCGTTTGTTGTCATCCTTCTCAATGGTATGATGACAACAAAGATGTTAAAAAAGCTATGCAAGAAATGTTTTTAGTTGCTGACAAATTTATACAGGAAAATATCACTTATAAATATGATGGATTTTCCGATTCTAATATGACTTTATGTTTATTTAATCAATACAATAATGAGTTTTGTGAAGATAGACTAACAATTATGGAACAGAAACTCATCTATAGAAAATTACATAGAATGTATAAAAAAGCGTTAAACAAAGCTTTAGGATCTAATTCTAAATTAGAACAGCTTATCAATCTGTTACAAGAATTCACAGAAGATGGGGAATCAGATTTCGAAGAGTTAAATGAAATTAATGAAACTAATCCAGAGGATGAAATAATTGATAAAGAAAATGTTGATCCTTTAACGCCAATATTGCGAAATCCGAAGAAAAGAAGTGGTAAAGGACGACCATTGGGTACTAAAAGGTTTAAGTCATCCACTGAGACTCCTAAACCTAAGTCAAGAAACTAACGAAATTGCAGAAAATGTGGGAAGGTTGGCCACTATCAAAAAAAATTGCAAGGTACTATATCATTAGCGTATGCAAATATTATGGTTTCTTACGCAAGTTACATTAAATTTTATTTCTATAACTAAGAACAAGAAATTTAACGTCGGGAATAATTAATTAAAATGCATGAATAGAAATAATGTATCAATAGAAAAAATGTATTAATCGAAAGAATGTATCAATAGAAAGATAATAGTAATATGTTAATAATTGTTAATAATTAATTTGTATAGTTATTGCTTTGCTTTAATAAAAATAACGATAAACTAATCACATGATAATAGTTTAAACACGTGACATTTGAGGACTTAGCGATATATCGCCATAGTGATAAAAAAAAAATCCAATTAAAAATTTACCTTTAAAATTAAATCTTTCAGCATTTTGAATTTACAAAAAAAAAAAAATAAATGTTAAAAATAACCAGAAATGATATCATTTCTTAAGAGGAAAAAAAGTGTAATCTAAATATCAGAATAATAATATGATCAGAAAAATAATTACTGAATTTCTAATACTAAATTTAAAACAATTTAAATTTCTAAAGATTCTACTAAATTTTAAGTTTTATTTTTTTACTAATTACCTATTTATTTATATATAATATTAATTATATGATTACCATACATTACAAGTAGTGTTCTGCACAAATCAAATTTCTCCTTTGAAATTCAATTCAATTCAGATTTGATTCAACCTCCAAAAATTATTATCTCAAGATCTAGTAATCCAATTTTGATAATTTTTTTAATTAATAGGTCTCATTGCCCTGATCAAAATAAAAAAGTAATCGTCAAAATCAGACTGCAAAATCGAAAGTTATTCGCAAAATACATTTTTATTATTCGAGAATAATCAGAGTCACACTATGTCATGAATCAATTCGTGCAGAACACTAATTACAAGCTATAATATCTCACTTTTTTATATCCTGTAAAAAAAGTTAATTCGTTTTTTATATTCCATCTTTTTTCTGTAAAAGACTTATATTTTTGAAATTAATAACCTTATATCACAGAATGTATCAAATTATTTACATTTTCTGTAAATGGATCTGTGAAAAGCAGAATTTTTACAGAAATAATAGATAAAATTTTTATAGGGATATAGTATATATAGTACTTCTCAAAAAAGAAATTCTATTTATTATTGATTTTATTATTTAAATAATTTAATAAATATTTTAAATATATGTAATATATAATAATACTTTGATTATTTTATAAATTTTAACTACTTTTTATTAATAGTAAAATTTATGTAATAGAAAAGCTAGAAAAATATAGGATATATATATTGCCAAAATAATTTTTAATTTTGAATTAATTTTAGCTTTGTAATATAATTTTACAGTATATAATATAATTATCTAAAATTTGTTAAAAGATTTTATTAGACTTTAAAAAATTTAATAATTTCAATTAAGTTTGTATAAATTTTAAATATATAAAATTAATTAATAGAATAAAGTAAATAAACTTAATCAAAATTATTGCCAATAAAACTAAAATTATCAGAAAATTTCTTTATATTTACTAAATTTAGACTTTTAATAAACATTTCTATTAAGTTTTAATTGGTTATTTTCATACACTTAAAATTATATTATAAATATTATAAAGTTAAAATTAATTTAAAATTTGCAAAATACTTTTATTTTAAAATATTATATTTAACTATTAATATAAAAATAAATAAATGTATTTGTACATATTTTATTTATAACATCCTTTTTTTATTTTTTTTAATAATAAATTTAGTATGCATTTTACAAATAAAATTTTTATATGCAAAATTTGATTTGAAAAACTTTTTCATAGACAAAATTTTAAATTATAAGCAGTTTCTTAAAATTTTTTAAAAAAAATGAATTTATTTCTCACTTTGGATGAGTAATATTATTACTCACCCCTATTATGTGATAAGCATTTTAATTGACTTATTAAGGTTGCTTGCCAAAATTAGGTAATTTAGGCCAAGGCCGAAACTTTTTTGTAGCCAAAAGTTTAGGCAATTAGGCAATCAAAAATAAATTTGCCAAAATTTATAATGCCGAAATTATTGCCAAAAGTCCAAAATTTGACTGAAATTATTGGTATAATTCTGGCCATTTTTAGGATGTAATTCTGGCCAAAAAATGATCGACATTAAAATTTCCTAATTTTGGCCAAAATTAAGACCGAGTTTTAGTCTAATTTCAGCATTTTCGGCATTTGATTTGATTGGCCAAAATCTTTCAGAATTTCCTTTTTAGTTTTGGCAGGCAACCTTATGACTTATTTTTGATTATAACAGCTAATCAGCGACATAACACATAATTTATTTATAATTTTATTCTTTTGAAAATTTATCATTATTAATAGAAGAATAAAATACAATTATTCAAAATTAAAATTTACAATTATTTATCTTTGACATAATTAGTATTAATAATAATGAAAAAATATGGAAAATAAAAGATAAAGTGATAGATATAATTTAGTAGTAATATTTATTTGACATATAAAGTGATCTGAAAGCCAGAGAAACAGAAATAAACCCAATCAAAGATTAAAAATACATCCAAAAATGATAAATCAAGAATAATACAAGAAATATATGAAATGTTTAATGAAACATTCAATGTTTAATAATATCAATGATCTTGATGATTATCTTGATGTTGAAATAAGCAAGATGAATGATGATATTAATATCGAAAAGCAAAAATAATAAAGAGTAATAAAAGCAAAGAGGAAGAAACAAAAATGAAAGGCAAGAGAGTGAAGTTAGAGGAAAAATGAAAGGGAAAAGAACAAAAATAAAAATAAAGGGAAAGGGAAAGATTTAAGAAGAAAAAATGGAAAAAAAAGGAATTAAAATAAAGAGAAATAAAAATGAAATGAAGAAGAATGAAAATGAAACAGAAATGAAATAAACAAAATGAAAATAAAACAATGAAAAGATTATGAAAGGAAAAGAAAATGAAAATTATTAGTAATGAAGACGAGAAAACAATAACTAAAAATTGAAAAACAACAGAAATAAAACTACTTATTTAAAGAGAATCGGCAAATCTAAAAAAGAGAAAAATTTAAGAGTCACCAAAATCTAAACAAAGAAAAAATCTAAAAGCCCGAAATCTAAAAAAAATGAAAGGAAAAAATTAAGATTAAACATAAAAACAACAAGAACAAAATTTAAAAATAAAAGAATCAAAAAGTAGTAAATAAAAAAAAAGAACATACTTTGATTGTGAAACTGGAAGGACTCATCTTTTTCTTACTTTTTTAAGTTTCAGTAAATCTCCAAGACTTCAGATGAGTGTATTTTTTTTCATTTTTATTTTTCGTTTATAATTTAATTTTACTAACCAGTTGTTTCTTTATTTTTTTATTAGTCAAGTTTTAAGGACTTAAAGAAAGGAAAAAATAAAAAGAAAATGAAAATAAAAAGAACAAAGATAAAAATGAAAGGAAAAATAAAGTGAAAAAATGTAAATGAAAATGAAAGGGAAAATAAAAATGAAAGGATATGAAATAAAAAGGAAAATGAAACAAATAGGGATAAATATAAAGACAAAAGGAAATAAATATAAAGTGGATGATAAAAAAGAAAAAATTCTATAAAAAGAAATAAAACAAAGTTAGTAAAAAATAAGACCTTAGACATTACATATACAATTCAGAGAATAACTTTTTAATAAATTGGCCTAAATTTCAAAAAAAAAATCACATTTTTTGCGATTATCTCAGCATTTAGTAGTTTAATTTATGCAAACTTTTTTTGTTTTGTAGCCCTCATCGAGCTCTATAAAATAAAAAAAATTTGCATGAATTGGATTATTGGATGCCAAGATAATTGCAAAAAACTGAAAATAAAAAAAGAGTAAATTGGATCTTTTTTGGTAAAAAGTCAGTTGTGAGTTTTATAAATGATGTTCGGGATTCTGTAAAAATAAAGCAAAAGCAAAAAAGAAAAGAAAATCAAAGAAACGAAAAAAATATATCTTTAAGTGTAAAATCAAAAGAGCTTGTCTATACTGAATAATTCATTATAGCATTAATGAATTTATTTATAATGAAGTCCTGATTGGTCAAAACAGAGG